GATACTGGAAAGGCTGTTGAGAATGACCTTTTCTAAATTTATCATAATTTTTTTAAAATAGTGAGATGAATGTCCCAAATCCCCTACCTGATACTATTTTCAGCTCACCATTTATAACTTCTTTGATTTTATTACTGTCAGGAAATGCTTTTTTTTTTTAGTAAGATCCCTTTCCAGAGAAACAATATTTAGCTTAGATCCCAATATGATACACATAAGCTTTGGCTCATTCTCTCCCTCTAAGCAAAAGAAGCTGAAGTTAGATTTGAAGGCAGAATCACAAAATGGGCAGGCAGAATTGTGACAAGCAGCCAGCGCAGGCCACCTGTTAGCCAGTTACCTCTGGCAGGAGCAGGCTCCTGTGGTGACAGGTACATGGACATGTCTGAGAAGAAACAAATATGGGGAATGAATAGACACTTAAGGACATAGTCTTTCCACCCAGGATGAAGCCCACTGTGGGCTATAAGCATACTCTTGATAAGAAAAGCTCTGCAAGATGCTTTGTGCAGACAGGAGAGCAATGGTTGGGACAATCAGATATAAACTCCTGTTACTCAGCAAGCTAAAGATTTACTTGCTTCCAAGTTTCTGGAGGAAAAAGCAAAACAAAACACAAAACAGCCATGTGGCCTTGATCAGCCAAATTCCAGATACACAAATACCAAAAGCCCCAAAATGAAAACAAACTTCAGAGATGAGATATCCTTGAACTCAATCACCCAAAGGAGCAAGATACCCTCCAATAAGCTGTGGATTGTTGTGGAGATTTACAGAAATCCTCAGTATTGCTTCCAAAGGAAGATAAAAGCTCCTTTCAACATTCTGAAAATAGGTTCATTGTTTCCAGCTCCACTAAGCTTACTGCTGAGCAGCAGGTGTAACAGCAAGACTCATCTAAGAGACCCTAAAGAATCTTACTTACCCATAGGAGCTTTAGGAGATGTGCTCAACAAGTCAATAGATGGGCCTTGGCTTGGATCTACAGGCACAAGAACAGGAGAGTACATTCAGAGATCATAGAATCATATCATAGAATGGCCTGGGCTGGAAATGACCACAACGATCATCTAGTTTCAACCCCCCTGCTGTGCAGGGTCGCCAACCTCTATATCAGGGTATCCAGAGCCACATCCAGCCTGGCCCTGAATGCATCCAGGGATGGGGGGAGGATCCACAACTCTGTGGGCAACCTGTTCCAGTGTGTCACCACCCTCTGTGTGAGATACTCTTAACTCCTTTATTCTCACAATGTGATAGTTTCACTATCTCTCTTCTAAGTTCTGTGCCCCGCAGCAACCAAACCAAGCTTTTTATATATATATTTATATTTATATTTTTATATATAAAGCGCCTATCACATGATTGATAAACATTCTTTGGAACCATTTTGATGGCAGGGGTAAGAACAGGAGTCAGCCTGTCAGAACCTCAGCATTTCTGTTTCCAACCAATTGAAAAAAAAAAAAATTAAAATAAAAGCCACAAGACTTTGCTGCCAGTCTGGCATGCTGGCGTTTAATACTGCTACTCCATCAGGGTTGGAGGGAGACTTATTGTGAATGGCAACAGTTTGCACTGTGATTTCTCCAGCTTGAAAGCTGCAATTTCCCAAGCACAACTACCTTAGATCTCCACACAGCAAGTTACCCACTCTGCAGTGGCCTCAACATGTTAAAAGAAAGAAAACACTCTGAAAGTGAATACACAAAGCTGTTTCAAATTACTGTCATGCTCCAGATTCTTGTTTTCTTTGTAACTTATCTTAGAAACAGTTTTCTGCTTTATGTTCACATGCCATTTTCAGACAGCACACAGAGCTTCCATTTCTTCAAACCTGAAACAAGCCTTTCCAACAGAGAGTACAGGACTGTACTCCCCTGAAAATTAAGTCAGGTTCTTGAGAACATTATTCAGCAGAGAACTCACGTGCTGCTTCACTGCTTTCTGATGACTTTGGTGCTTTTTCCATGTCCAAGGAAGACTGTGCAGGATTCTGGCTGGCATCTGCTACATCCCAGGTTCTGGAAGACTGTAAGGAGATAATCACTCTACTGATTTGCAGAGGATGAATACATCTAACAAGCCTAAACTTACTTCTAGTTCAGATGCCTTTATTCAGCTTAAAGTCAAGAAAACATGTTCCAAACAACAGACTATGTCCTCACTGAAGATAACCCTACATTCCTTTACTGAGATTATATATATATAAAAGTAAAATGGAATACCACAAGGAATAATAGAGTATTGTACAAGCAGTTGGCCAAATCCACTTCCACTGGAAAGCTGACTAAACCAGATGTTCAAAGCAATAGCCAACCCTTGCTTTAACTGTCCAAAGAGACTGCGTTATGCAGGGAGATTCCCTGAAGATAAAGATGTTCTCAAAGAGAAAAGGCATGGGTACTGAAAACCCATATAGAAATATTTATACCTGTGGACTATATTCCAGACTGATGACTGAATCTTAGTTGTTCTGTGTTACTGCTGAATGTGTATACAGTTTAGAATCCTTCTCAACTAAGCAGAACTGCTCCTACTGCCACTCCAGGCTCCTGGACAACCAGCTGGCCACCTGAGAGCTGTTAAAGCTGTCTGGTGTAAGCAATTCTTCCCACCTGTGTGTGCTCCATGAAGAAATCAGCATCACTCTTGTCAGGGGAATGCCCAGGGGCTCCACTGAGTCCATCTATGAGCAACTGAAGAGAAGAGAGTTAAAAAGAAGCTATCCTACAAGACTCAGCATGAAGTGCTACATGTCTAACTGTAGAGAGCTGCTTAGACTTACATCAGTGCCATACTTGGCCATGGCAGCACTTGCCAGCTGCCGGATCTTCTCCCTGTACATCTGGGCAGCTCGACTGTTATACTTAGCATTGGCATCTGTTGTAGTGCAGCCATGCTGGCGGAAGAAAGCAGTCTGAAATGAGAAGAACATTCAGTCTCCTTGCTGCTACGTGATACTCAAGTAGCAGTTAGACATGACACAAACACTACAGGAACAAGAAGCTTCCCAAAGACAGGAGATATAATACTCAGCACATGGCATGAAGCTTGCACTGATCAGCTCAGCTTTCCCCAAGAAGTCTCTTCCAAAACCCCGAGGGATGTGAACAATCCCTTTCATTCCCAGAGGAACGCTTTTGTCACCATGCTGAACAAGAGCTTCCCAACTGATCAGTGTTACTAACTCCTTTTGTTTAAGAGGACTATGCCTCTCATTTAAAGATGTCAGGAAATGACTGATCTGCATGCCAGAAAACAATACATGCATAGGTCACAGGCTGACTTCCAAGTGCACCTGACAAATGCCTGCCCTCATTATACATTTCAAGAAAACAAGAGAAAGAAAAGAGAGAGAAAGGTTGGTACCCAGAAAGCCACACAAAAGAAAGGGACAAGAAACTGAGGATGCGGATTAGCAATGGAGAAAATAAGCAAAATGCCTATGGAAGTTCCTCACCGCATTGGCATTGCTGCCCACTTGCATACATCTCAGCTGGAACCAGTTCCAGTTAGAGTCAAGCTCCGTGGACCTGCATGAAAACAAATTACTGCTATTAATGATAGGCAGGCGTGCCAAATACAAAAGCACGCTCCAAGCCACAACAGTCAGAGATCCCACTTCTGTTCCACCAGAGTACAGGAGGCAAAGGGGGAAAGCACATCTCAGTGAATTATCAGGAATTAACCCGAACTTTTAAAGCAAGGAATAAAGTTAGCTTCAGCTTCATACTAAATAACATGGCACCCAAACCGAGAGGGCGTCTCACTGGTACGGCTTGCTGAGAGGTGGGGCCTGAATCAGGAAAGCTTCCGTTCCACATCTGATCTCACCACAGCACAAAGACTCGTGCTCGGCCCACCCCTCCGATCAAGCCAGAGCACATGACAAAGCAGCCCCAAATGGTCAAATGGAGCAAGGGCACAGCATGCTTCTTAGGGTTACTTGACTTATCTCTGTATGAGCAACGATCACTATTCTGTTACTCAGAAAGTTTTTACAGGTACAGAAAATAAGAGCAGTGGATGAAAATCCAAAACCACCTTCCCCTCTGGGCTAACTCAGAAAAGACTGAATAACATTCCTGCTAACAACACTCCCCTTTTTGCTTTGCTCAGCGTTACAAAACACTCAGACTGTTTTACTAACGACATTCACACACCACGGTCTCCATTCAACTTCTTCCAAGTCCGGACGCTGTTATGCGACCCAGGGGACACAGCACGCCGCTGTCCTGCCCACTGACCCGCGGCTCCCCGTACGCAGACACACGGCGCGAAGCCACCACTTGGCGACGAAGCTTTTCTCCGACGGAACCCCAAGCCCCGCAGCAAAATGCAGCACGCCGGCCCGCTCCCACACACCTGATGAAGCTGACGTGCACGCCCAGGGAGCGGTGGACGCCGGAGCAGTCGATGCACAGGAAGACCCCGTAGGTAATGCTGGCCCAGCTCGGGTTCTTGGCGCCGCAGTCGAAGCACGACTGGAGGGGCAGAGGGACGGCCAGGTTGGGCAGAGCCCTCGCCTCGCCCCGCGGCCGCTCAGCCGGGCCCCAACCCCGCCGCCCTGACTCCAGCCCGCAGATTACCGGCCCCGCCGGGAACCGGAGCGCCCTCCCGGCCCCGCCCGCTACCTTGTTGGCCGGCGCCGCCCGGAGCCGCTTGAAAAGAGTCTGAATCTCCGTCTTGCTCGGTTCCGCCGCCATCATCTCTCCTTCCCACACGCCACTGCGTCGACGGGTCCTGGCAGGGCCCAACAGGCGGAGGAGCGAGCGGGGCTACGGGAACCGCCCGAGCTCAAACCGGCACCGGGACGGGCCGTCCCCAGGCCGCCGGCAGGGGGCGCGCTCGCGGCTCATGCGGGGATGGGCGGTCCCGATGCCCCGGCTCGGCGCAGCGGTAGCTGCGAAGCCCCGGCGCCTCGAGGCGGCTCGAGGCACGGCGCGCGGCTCTCCGACCCCCGCAGAGCTCCCGGAGCGGCCGCTGCCTGAGGGAGTCGGGGGCTGTGCGGTGTCCCCGCGCTGAGGCCGCAGCCGGAGAGTGATTTAGTGAGCGAGAAGCGCGGCCTGCTCCTGAGAGCAGCGCGGGGCGGTGATCCAGGTAGGGAAGGGCTCGCTTCAGATCAGGCACTGTGTCAGGGCCTTACCGTGCTCAGTCATAGACCGGCGCGTCGTTGCGCTGCAGTGCAAGAGAGTAGAAGATGTGGTTGTGCTTTGAACTGTGTGTCAGTGGCAGAGAGCCCCTTTCGCACCGTAACAAGGGAAAACAAGCGACTGTGGAGCAAGGACAGCAGGAGCTACCCACTATCATGGCACTGCTGAGCTGGAGCAGAACGCGCCTCCTTTCCTTCCTTCCAGAAGGAGATCGTTTGGTCACACCAGTCTGTTGCTAGCAGTAAATGTGGAAGTATCTGGACAAGGCAGCTCTCAGTTTACATTTAAAGGTTTCCATGTTACTTATTTCTGATTTTTCCACTGATATGCAAGATAGATCGTAGAATTAATTGCCGTGGGAGCCCAGGATGCATGATCTTAGCAAGGTCTGTAAGGTTTGAGGATGTAAAGATAAAACCAGGTACAACTGAAACGTTCAGCAAAAACTCCTGCAGAGCAAGGCTCAGCAGGAGTGTTGAGTCTTGTGTTCTGGGACTCCAGGGGCCAAGCTGCACAGTCAGCTGGGACCTGGTACAGAGATAGGCTGCTCTGCAGTAAGACAGGAGGCTTCTGCACGCTCATCTGACTCGAGCTGCCCCAGGACAAGGTACTGAGGCTGGCAGCAAAGCTAGATGCAGCCTGGCAGGGCACGTCCTTGGCTGCAGCTCCGCCTTGGGCAGCCCCTGCAGTGTGTTGCTCTTACTCTGCTACCTTGGTTGCTTCTGTGTGCCCGTTTCTGGGGTTACACAAGCAGTACTGGGGAATCAATTCAGGTAAAAGTAACTGATAGCTTTTTGTCACAGTTATTTTTAAACCATCTGAGTTCCCTGATCCCATTCATGGTGCAGCTGTTCTCACAGTCATACCAGGAGAGCCAGTGTTGAGTGTTGCAAGAGCTGGCTGCGCCCTGGGAAGAAGAGAGCTGAGGGCAGCTCCCATAGGGCTGTGCCTTCATCAGCCATTACTCATCTCCACAATACCTGAGCATGGCAAGCAGAGCAGGCATTGCCAGGGTTGAGTTGCTTACTCCACCTTGTCCCCATCTACTGTGCTGCAGTGTGGTGCTGCTCTCCTCCTGCGCAGGCTTTATTCTGGTGATGTCTGTGTTTGGCTGCCTGAGGGATGAGCTGTGCAGGAATTAGGAGGGACAGAGTCTATTTGCAGTGCTGTTACCACTGTTTGGGGCTTATGAAAGAGGAATGGCTTGTACACAGGAGGAGCCAAGGCAATCTTTGAGGTCTGTAGCTCAGTATCACACATTGTTTCTGCCTGTCTGTGCTAGAAGGCATGTGGGGAGAGTGCAGGCTCTGCTGTTCTGTGAAGGGGTACATGGTTTGTGCTCATTGTGCTGTGACCCAGGAAGGCTTGCCTACAGCAGGGTTATTTAAGCTGCTTTGTCTCAGCCAGGCCCCTTGCAAGCCTTCCAGCCCACGCTGGTTGCTCCAAGTCCTGGCAAGGCTGCCGATCCTGTCCATCAATTTTACATAAAAGAAGCAGGAAGAGTATGCTCCTGCTCTGAGAAATAGTCAGCTTCTTTTTGTTGCCACTTCCAGTACAGGAAAGACCTCCTGCTGCTGACTCTTCCCTGTGAGCATGTGCTGTCACTGCACAGTTCTTGCTATTTCCTGCATCTGTTTCTCTTGCATCTCATGTGCTTTGCTGTTGAATTTCTGAACAGCTAGCTGGCATCCTGTTCTTCTGCTTTCAGCTTTTGTGTCCATCCACACCATGTGTAAAATTTGACTCTTTTCTCCTGATTGCTGTGACACCAGACCCTGAGCCATTTGTAGTCTCCTAATGAGAGATGCTGCTGTTACCAATGTCAGTTAGTGACAGTCTCCAGCATCATGCAATAGAGCAAAGGAAGGTAACCAGGCACATTCTTGGAGTGTGCCATACTACTGGGACAGTTTTTCAGCACAGAAGTCTTGTTGCTTGTGAGTGCGAGGTTACTGTGGAAGGAAAAGTGGCAGAGAGAAAACCCAAGGGCCCTGCATGAGAAGCAGGGGATGTGTCAGACGAGAGCTGGAGAAGCTCAGGGGTGAAGTGCCACAGTGGGTGTAAAACCTGCCGTGCACTTGCAGGTCTAAGCCAAGGAGAGTAGAAGGTGACCCTCTGGAGACCCATCTGGAAGCAGGGTGACAGTAGGGAGAAGGGACCTAGCTGTCTTCTACTGCCCTCCAGCTTGTGAACCAGAATAAATGTGAAGAAGAGGGAGGGCATGCCTCCTGCCGTCCTACTTGGACCCATCGGCCTCTCAAGCTTTTGCTGAATGAGGAAACTACCTGAAAAAGAAGTGGGAGAGACAGTGTCCCATGGGTCACAGTGTGAGTGGTGGGGTATCAGGAACCTAGTGACGTGTGGAGAGAGGAACAACACTTAAAACAGGGTTGCCAAATATAGATATATATTTGGTTTGTTTTTAAACAGCCGGTTTACAGATACTGGGACCAGTCTGCCAGTGTGCCACACAGAATGTAATTAGTAGCTGTCTCTGTAGGAAAAAGTACTGTACGAAGGCAGGCAGTCACATCACATGCTGACTCCATACAGTGCTTGTAGCGAGATTTAAGATAAGGAGCTATTATGCTACATGTAGAGTGAATATTTTGTTAAGGTTTACGACTTAGGCAGTTTTACTGCAAATCAAACAAATGTTGTGGTTTGGAGAGAAGCCAGCAAGGGTAGAAGAAGCATACAAATTAAGGAGCACAATAGATGAGTAACTCCAGAGGTACTGAGAAGCAGAGTAATGGCTTGATCTGGTTTGGGGGTGTGCTGCAGCCAGAAGGGGTCCTGCTGCACATGCTGTCCCTTGCGCTGTTCTGACAAGTGGGTAACCATGGTCTGAGTCACAACCCTAGCCCTGCCCTAACACCAGCTGTCCTTGCTTCGCTGAACTGATTGCTCTTCCTCCTGGAACTTCCAGGAAGTTTTGGAAGGGTGGAGAGCACTGTCTCTATCAGTTGTGTCAGCTGATGTTGCTGGGCTGCCTGGCAAAATGGCTGAGGCTTGATGGAGTGTGTAACTACAGCATGAGTCTTGACTGCTGCTCTAACCTAGTTGTTAACTGTATGTGTGCATGTACATGTTATGTTTTTATGCTTTGCTTTTGTAACCCTATTTCCAGTATTGTTGTTGAATATTTTCAAACACACCGTTTGAAAATAAATCTGTGAGTGGCATGACATGCTGGGGATCTGGGAGGCTCTGGGGATGCCCCAAAGCAAAGGAGAGCTGGCAGATGTCTTCAGGGGAAGGGGAGGGGGACTGGGAATGTTTCATACCTTGCTATAGTGGTCATTTTGGAGATGTGCTATAACAGTTGTCCTTGCTCAGAGCAGGCTGCTTAGCAGGTGTCAGTCACAGCGTGTCCTGTGGCTTAAAGTCATGCTCACCACACCATGTGGGAGTAAGGTGGGTAGACTGGGCAGTCAGCAGGCTCTGAGCTGTCTTGCTATGAACAAAGTCAGAGAGGGAGTAAAGCCCCAAGGCTGGTTAGAGGTAGGGTCAGCCTTTGGCAGTGCTGGAGAAAGCCTGGAAGGCAGTAGAAAAGCACTGCTTTCTGCAGCAGCCCCCTGCGCCCCCCACACTCCTCTGTGTGATGGATGAACTGCAGCTCTGCTGCTGCAGCAGCTTCCAGAGCTTGGAGTTGCAATAGCCCCCTGAGTGCAACCAGTTCAGCTGGGCTGGGACAGCAGGGTAAAGGCAGGAGAGCGGCTCAGGGGAGAGAGTGAGGAAGGCTGATTTAGATGCCCCTGCCTTGGCTGTCTGTTTTGGCAGCCAAAGGGCTTGCTTCTTTACCCACTTACCCAAGGTTGCACTGTGCCATGTATGTTTGCATATTTATTAATCACTGGCTTAACTGTTCTCAGAGTGACCCACAGTTTTCTTCCATACAGGAACCATCCAGGAAGCAATTCACACCCTTAGGTTCCCCCAAAATACAGCAGCAGTTGGTACCAGCAAGGCTGATTTACTGGCAGACATAATTCCTGTCCTAGCTAACAAGACATGTAAAAAAATGGAAGTGGTACCAACACAGTCTCCGAGCAGAGGTGCAGACCTTCTGCCTCACTGCAGTCATATAATCTCTGTCTGCCTAAAGCATGACAGATCTATAGCACTTGGCTCTGCTGTTCCATGGCTGCAGGCTCTTAGCAGACATGAGAGAGCACTTCTGGAAAACTACCTGAGCCCAGAGGCCAGGGAGGGTATGGGATGCAAGAGGGGAATGTATTACAAAAAATATTTGCTGGCTTACTGGGAAAATGCGTTGGGTCTTCCATAGACCTGGAAAGGGGAGGAAGCTGCAAGAAGACCCTCAGCTAGATCCCATAGCAAGGCAGGGTGCAGTTGTAACATCTGTCTCCCAGAAGGCAGTCATTAAATCTCTCAGCCATTAGTCATAAGACAGATGTAAGACACATGCTCAGCCTTTTGAGGTGGTTAATAAATAGAACAAGGTTTGCTGTATCCAGAGCTATTACTGAGTTGCAGGAAATGGGGAAACTAAAAATGAGTAGTGGAGAATGACAGAATGGTGGACTGGTGTGTGCCTTGTATCACGTAGCATTTCATCTTATAAATATGATCAAGTTCGGTGGGGAGCTTGGATCAGAAAGGATGAGAACCAGAGAGAGCCTGCAGCAGGTTGCATCTGAGTGACATTCCCTTGGTAGACATTCTCTTGAACATGAAGGAAAGAGGTACAGCTAGGATGATGGGGAACAGAATTTCCTTAGGGAAGCTAATTACAAGGCCTTGCACAGAGCAAAGACCAAAAAAATCTTTCAGGTGGATGAAGAGACAAACATACCCTCTGAACCCAAAAGGGATGGGAATCTATCACCTTCTCTGATGGGAAAACAAGGCAGCCTGCCAAGGAAGGGAGAGTATTTTCCAAGTCTGTTTCCCCTCAGATTACATAGGAGCAGGTGGTCTGTAGGGTTTGTAGCTGCTTCCTTATTGTTCTTCATAGGTCATGGTTTCATTAGCTTTTCCTCTGTACCTTTTCCTCCTGTGTTCTCTGTTGCAGGTGTCTGTTGAGCTCCAATACCAGCCCTGAGCCTTCAGTGCCTTGGCAGGCAGTCTGCATGCTGGGGACAGAGTTCCAGTACTGTTTGGTGCTCTTTGGAACAGTGCCACTGGAGAAGCAGATCCATTACAACCTGTGGTGTGCAAAGTCTGGCTTTGGAGCTGGGGTATACAGTGCAGACAATGTGTCAGTGATTGGAGTAGTCTTCCTGCATGTGGCAGCAGGACTCCACAGATGCTAGACAGTGCTCCTTAGCTACATCTTCCTTGCTACCTTCCACAGCAGTGGTGGGTCTGAGCTGCTGTGCGGCTTTATCCTCAAGCAGTACAACAGCAACACCCAGGTGTCAGCATCCCCATGATGTCAGACACCACTGCCCTAACATAGGCACTGCTGCCATGGGTTGCAGTTGATGTCATCTCAATGGAGCCCGTGTTCCTGCATCCAGCCACTCATGTTGGAGTTCATGTACTTCTGTGATCCTCGCTACTTCTCACCTTTGGCCACATCATGCTTCAGGCTCTGGAACCTTTCAGGTGAGCAGCAAATTTATCTACTAGGAACTGTGTCTATCTCCTTGGTGCTCTGTGGGAGGAGAGGGTTCCCCAGGTTGTGCTCAAGCAGAGGGAGGTCAGATCTAGGGAGCAGTGCTGCCCAGCTGTTCAGCAGGAGCACAGCAGACATAACATTTCAAGGCCAACTTGGCTTTGCCTGTTTTTGACGCATGCGACAATTGCTTGCATCCTTGAGCCGCTTGCCTGCGTTCAACATCTGCGGCAGCTGAAACTCAAGAGACCAAGCAGCCAAAGGAGTTGGTTTCACAGACCCTAAAGTTACAAGAAATCCAGTTCCTTGAACAAAAAAGGTACTGCCTTTGAGAACTGTAGTTTATGTTGGTCTTGGGTTGTCAGGACTAGCTTAACTGTCAGCCCACAATCCTGGAACAGGCCTCATGGTACTTAACAGAATTAGTGCTTTCTCTGGTTTTGAGATTCTTTACTGAAGAACTTTAATGTTAGAATTAGATAAGCCAAAAAATCAAGTGACTCATGTGCAGGGGGAAAAAGGAGAGGTGGAGAGGGGGCAGATGGTGGTACTAAAGTGAAGGAAGCACCTCTTTTTTCACACCAGAGCAACATACCAATTTTGGAGTTTCTCAACTGCTTCACTGCTTCCTTGAAGGTAGCCCAGACAGCACAAGCACTAACTTGTTGGAGGACAGAGCCAGCAGGGCTGTCCTATCAGATGTGACCTTTTCCAGCAAACATGTAATCTCAGTTCCCTGCAAATCACCTCACTCACCAGAGTTTTCTAAACTGAATCCCTTTAGTACAAGGACTAGTTGTCTGCAGCACTTACAAGACAGGTAGGAGGCATGCCTGAAGGGGAAGAGAGTGACCCAAGGCAGGCAGCACTAAGGAAAATATAATGTGAGCAAGGAAAAATGAGAAAGCTGTTGTTTTACTCAGATGCTCTTTTGAAAACAAACAATAATCAGTGCACATAAGCACCCCTGTGAACTGTGATTTGGGTGGGGAGTAGGTAGCAGAGGTTCAGCTCAGTGGGTGGCCACAATGCGTAGAAAGGTTGCAGGGCCATCAAGTGAGACAAACATACAAAGGATAGTGGATGTGGCACTGCTTAGAAACACTGTGGTACCTGAGGGGAATCCCTGAGGAGAATTTGAGAGAAAGGGCCAGTATGCTCACAGCTGGGGACCGGGATTGTTTTGGTGTCAGCCTCCTGCTGAAAGCAGGAACAATAGACTCAGGAAGGAAAGAGTTTGTGAAGTCAAAGGGGAAGAATACGGGTCCTGGAAGAAGATTTCCAGCTGATATGCTAGAAGGGAAGTACAGAGAGGAAGGGATCATAGGATCTATAAATAGCTGGACCCAGTGAAAGCACTGGGTCTTTAAGAGGAGAGATTACAGGCCTCTGCACTTAGCAGGGGAAAGGTGCTGACCACTAGAATGCTTCAGGAGAAAGGAAGTCCCAGGCTGCATCTGTAATTACTTTAATCTGGGAGACTGACAATAAACCATGAACCTCTGCAAGTGGGATTATCAGACAGGCAGGATGACCCAGACAATAAAATGGATGTGTTAAAAGCAACTAAGAAAGTGACTGGGCTTGAAACTTGTTACTTGTTCACTGCAGTCCTGTTGTTTAGTCAGGATGTCCCAACAAAGGAACTGTCAATCTTTTCCAGCTACCCCATTGTCTTCACCCCCTACTTTTCCTTCTTCATCTTGTCTAGAATCATCCTCTCACATTCATCCCATCTGCTCTTCTTTGGTGAGTTAACAGTTTCACTCCCTTGCAGCCCCCGAGCTTTCCTGCTCCTTGTCTGAAACTGGATGGCAGTACAACACTTGATCACAGGTTAGTTTTTTCCTCCTTTCTTTTATTTTGGAGCAAGAGCCCTCTGAAGACACTTTGCCTTGTATCATCTACCCTTTCCTGTTCTTGCACAATGGCTCCTGACAGCACCTGGTAGGTACTTTCCAGCCATTTTTTCCATAGGTGAAGCTGGAGTTGTGGTGGCACTGGCATTGTCTCAGTTTCAGCCCCACGAGCAACACGAAGCATTCTTACCAGTCTCTGTGCAGTTACCCTAGGAGCAATTACTTCTTCAAGAAGCAGTGTTCAGGCCCATTTTAACTCCAGCACTGCTTTCCTCACAAGCAGAGGGAAATTCTGCAGCAAGCAGATCTGAAAATGCAACTGAAGCAACCCAAAAGTGTGCAGTTTGCTTGCACTTCAGTCAGGTAGAACGTGCCTGAAATAGAGCTGAGCAACCAACAACTGAAGCCTTAGGCTAGACCTGTAAACAGAGCGGGAGCAAAGGGAATTCAGAATGACTTTTAACAGCTCTGGGATTGCTGTGCAGAACTGACACCTACTTGTACCTTCCTTGGTGTGGCAAACCAGCTACAAGGACGTGAAATGGGGAAATGGGATGGAAAGTAAACTGACGCACAAATGGCCCCAGGCTCCACACAGGGCTGGGGGACTGCCACCAAAGGTTAGAGGCTAACCACAGCTCAGCTGCCATCACACAGCACAGCTGGCCCATGCACACTACAGGCCCTGAGGCAGATTCTGCCTACAGGACAGAAATGTTATTAGTGGGTTGGGCAAGCTCAGCTTCTGCTTTGGGGAAATGGGTGTGATCTGCCATAGAAAATCTTTAACAACTTCTAGAAAACTCCTTATCAACAGAAAATCCAAGCTTTGTACCATACTTGAAAAGTTCTTGGTGAGGAAGATGTCAGAACTAAATTAATTATCTGCCAAGCACAGCTGTGCAAGCTTTTCACAAGGAAGGGCTTTATTTTAAAAAAAAAGGTGGCTAATGCCACTGTGTCACTATTAGGCAAAGAGACATCTGTATGCTTTCACAGATAGTATGGGGAAGAATAGGCTTTGCCAGCACTGTGGAATTCAGACACAATTAGTTCACATGTGCATCTCTCTGTTCATGCAAAACCACTCAAAAGCATGGATAACAAGTTTCAACTAGAGCCTTTACACTTAAAAACCCCCTGCATTTACTCCTGTGGAAAACTAAGTTTCCAGGCAGATCTATTACCTTAATACAAGACTACTAAGGGTTTTTGTTGTTGTTGTTGGTTTGTTTTCTTCCCTTGGGGAAGTTCTTTACACAGGCTTTTACTAATCCATTTGGGTTTGGGTACCCAAACTAAGGACTAAGAGCTATACCAAAATTTATGAGCTACAGTAAAGCAGAGCAGTTTTTTATTCCTGTTTTCTCCTGTCCCTTAATTCAGCTCTTGGCAGCAGTTTGATGTGCAAACATTCTTTAGGAGACACATTCATATAATCTATGGTGTGTCACTATTTCTGGCAACCTTCAAGCAGGCCATTATGATCAAGTGGTTGGGTTTTCCTAGGACAAACAAATCTGTTCAGACTTTGTCCTGTGGAATTTCAGGTTGTTTATATTTAACCAGGGGTCCTGCCTGCTGGCCATTTCTGTCCTCACCTACTGCCATCCCTAATTATAACCCAATCAGACTTAGAGGAATTGAAATTATGCTTCCACCTTTTCCTCTGTAACTCCCTTCTACATTTTTATTTTGACATTACTGAAAGGCAAGTATTAGTGTTTGGAAACATCTAGGCTAACAACATCAATTTCTCTTTTTCTCGTAGCACAATTCAGGTCATTTCATCCTTGACTGTTTTTGTTTCTTATCTCACAGGCCTGGCACACATGCTGTCTTCGCATTCACACGCATTAGACGAAAACAGCAAGTTACTCAGTTGGGGGTCAAGCAGCAGAACACATACAGTTACCATACAACACAGCTGCTACTTTACATGGTACACGGTACTAAAAGAAGAGATCAGATCTTTAAATGCAAATGCTTATGCACTGACATATTTGACTAGATTGTATAAGCTTAGTGATTTCTCCTAAAATTGGGCCTAGAGCAGTAGGTAAAGTCATAGCTAGATCCAAGCTTGTTTAATGGCTGTTGCTTGTTCTCTAACTACTTTTCTCTTTTCCTGAGAAGTGGTATTACCAATTCAGAGCTAACTGCCTATTTAGCCACATCCTTTTGGTTTCCATCCTTCTTTCCATACAGTGGTGAAACGGTGAAGGTGCAGTGCCAGAGATGCCTTGAACAAGATCTGTCCCAACAGCCACTGCATTTCTGCAGTCTCACAAGAGACTTAGACAGCATCCATCTCAGATCTTTATCCACAGCACACTATTTCAATGCATCCAGTATGCTGTGAAAGACTAATTTCCACTCCCAAGGCACCAAGATCTTTGTAATGCTTTATAATTTCACCAACAGCATTTAAATCTGTTCATCCCCAGCTTTTTTTTTAGTCCATGCTTGCTAAATACCAGTTTTGGTTTGCTAGCTACTAAAAGTTCTGTAGTCATTTAATCCCAAATGTTCACTTACAACTTCAGACTGTATCATTTATTTTCCAAACAGCCCTACAGCTGTTAGCCCCTGTATGATTGGCAGAAGCTTGACTGAGGTTTTTTTTTGAGTCTAATTGAAAAATGACCTTCATGTGTGCCAACTCAGAATAAGCAGTACACTGCACAAGGCTACTACAAGTTCACACTGTATCTGGTAGAATTTACTGCTGAGGCACAGTCAGAAGCCAGTTTTTACTATTCAGTTTTGTACCATGAATGTTTGCTTTTCCTTTTGCCTTTTCTTGTGGCCTTGGGATTACTGGGTATGGGACGTGCCCATCAGTCATGGGCATGTTCCTCATGTTTAGGCAAATCCTTATGTTTGAATAAGCAAATCTCTAAGATCAGGACTGCACTGGTTCAGCAGCCTCAAGATGCTTTCAGGAGCAGAAAGCAGGACAAAGGGAAAGGTTTGATAGGTGTTCCCTTGCTGAATGGTACTTAACTGGACATAAGCATACCTGATGCAGGCCAGAAAAAAAGCAATCTGATCTGCTCTCTGACAATTCCATTCACACCTTTGTCAGCATGAACAGCCAGATCATACAAGACAGAAGCCTTTCTCCTGTCCCATAGCTGTATTCTATCATTCATTCCTGGTGTTATCCCAATAAATTGGTAGTAGGAGAGGAAATCCAGGCTTAGAATCACCAAGGTTTGAAAAGACTAAGGTCCACCCACCACCAATATTTTCCATTCAACCATGCACCTCACTACAACATCTAAACATTTCTTGAAGGTTTCCAGTGATTATGACTCCACCACCTCCCTGAACAGCTCAGTGCAGCACCTAACCACTCTTTCAAAGCTCCTCCTGTTGTTCAACCTGAATCTCCCCTTGAAAGGCTTTTGAAGCTTTGTCACTTATGCCAGCTGCCTTACCCACAGGAGTCAACAAGCCTGCAGGTGAAGGACACTGAAGACTTCTGAAAGATCTGAGAATAAACAGAATTTTGTCAGCTCAACTGAGCAAGAAAGAGGAAGGAATAGAAGTTCTCTATAGCCCTACTTGTGCAGAGTTCCTTGAACAGGAAGCTTGGGGGCAGGGCAGTCCCCACCACCCTATGGATGCGCACACATGGAAGCTAAGAAGCTCTTTTGTCTGTTTGGAAGAGGTGCACATGTCATGCATCTCCCTTCACTGAGTGCAAGTCAGGAGGATCTGTTCCCTTCTGTACTTCTATATTCCTGTAGTGCTCACAGTCAGAGTAGTCTTAGTCATCCTTGTTTATTTATTAGAAAATCCCTACAGGTCTAGGCATTTAAAATGAAGCATTAGTTACATGGAATACAGGCCCTCAGAGTCCAGAAGTTGCTGGATATATTGCAGAGGTGGACTGGAGCCAGCAGTGACCCAGTGACCTCTGCAGTAGGTGCTGGTATGGATGTGAGACACTGGCAGGGCAGTTGTAATCATGAGCCAACCTTCTCAACATAGTTAGCAGGATAGAGTCCAATGTGGCCAGTGAGAAGTCGGCCCTTGCACCATCCCTGCTCATCTTCCTCACTAATCTTCATTAGTTCTTCTCCTACAAGCAAAGACAGTTATTAGGAAGCAGCTTTGGAAAAGGTAGCATGGCATTTGCTTTTTTGTGAACTCTGAGGGAAAAACCCATTGGTCTGAAGTATCACACCTTCTTCCCCTTTATCACACTCAGCATCAGTTTAATTTTGTCCACAGTTATTGACCTCTTCATTAGCTGTTGTCAGTATCATCCCTTGGGCCAAGGGGATTCCTCAATGGAAGTTTTTTTTTTGTTCTCAGTAGTTCTACTCAGTTCCCTTTCCCCAGAGGTACTTAGAAGCCAAAGGGAGCAGAAGGCTCAGGTTTTATTTTTCACCAGCTCCTCTGTAGCAAGTGGGAAAGAAATTTAAGAAGCTGCTAAGCTCTGGCCAGTAGGGGCCAAAATGGCTATTCTGTGATAGGCCATTTAGCTTGACCAGAAAGGCATGCAATCAACTTCTTTCTCAGACTATGACCAGGGAAGACTATGACTTTTAAACTCTCCATATCTACTTTAGGGAAGGGCAGAAAGGACCCCTTCTCCATCAGTAGGGGAGCCATACATCTGCCAGAAAGCCTTCTGCATCATTAAGAACATATCACACTGGTAGAGCCTGGGAAAGAAAGTCATCTGCTATTAAACTTAAGCCCTACTGGTCCACACTTGCCAGAGCAGATTCAGAAGATGGATAACATAACAAGGCATGCTTTTTTAACCATTAGATCTGTTGGGTGGAAAGAAAGAGCAAAGAGTCAAGTTCCACAGCACACATACAGTAAGATATTTAATAACAAAAACTGTTTAGTATCTAGTTTACTAGCAGCACAGATACTGGAGCCTCGGACACAAACCTCTGCTACTGAAAGAATTCAGCACCTTTTTAGAAAGGGGCTATTTTGTAGTTATATATA